AAAAAAAAAAAAAAGCAGCAGCTGCCTTCCTGAGGCACGGGAAGCACCCCTTTAGCAATCAGTCATTAAATATGGTTTCCAATGGACTTGTAAGTGCTATGGAGAGGATACAGCAGGTTCAGGAAAAGAGTGATGGGAGGGGGATCTATTTTAGGTATGTCATTAAAGAAGGTCTTTTAGGAGGTAACATTTAAACAGCCCAAATAAGGGAAGCCTTTGCACACTCAGTTGCTCTCTGAAAGGCTGAAGCCTCATATTCGCCCAGAGGGACTTCAAAAGGTCTGGCAATCTCCTTAAAAAACAAAAACAAACAAACAAAAAAACATTGACAACACTACCGATGACGGCAGCTCTACTTTGACCCGCAGGGGGTCACCATGAGTTGGAATCGACTTGACAGTACTGGTACTCAAGCCATGCAGAAACTGAGGGAAGGGTGTCTCCCTTAGAGGGCATGGTGAATGCAAAGTCCCGAAAGTGGGAACAAACTTGGGTGTTGGAAGGACACAAAAAAGGCCTTATGTGGCTGGAACAGAGTGATGGAAGGGGAGAGAGGTAGGAGACCCAAGCAGTTTTGGGGCAAGTCACAGAGTGCCTCTGCTGAGTGCTGGAGCAGAAAAAACGTCCGGCCTTTGCATACTCTATGCTCTTTATTTGGGCTGGAACTCAGTGGCCCAGGCTGACTCGGAGACGCCACTCTGTGAGCAGCAGAGGCCTCGAGGTCTCAGGACTCGCAGCCGTGGGCGTGCATGTATTCTGAAAATCCCTCCAGCTGAGCCAGAAATTCCTTCTTGCCGGCATCCCCGTCAGCCGGCCAGTGCATGACGAGCGTCTCTTTGCCCAGGACATACGTATAGCTGTGGGAAGGGGACAGCAAGGACGGTGAGGAGAACCTGGTCCTTGTGTGTGTGTGTGTGTGTGTGTGTGTGTGTGTGTGTCCGCACCCACCCTGCCCTATTTGGCAGCCTCCCAGAGCCTCCTCCTAGCCGCACAACTCCTACTTGGGGATTAGAAAAGGTACTCTTTCCTCCTACTCTTTACTGCCCTCTGTTGGAAAACTGAGACAGTGCATCAAAAACCTCACTGCCATTGCATTCAATTCCTACTCACAGCGGACCCTGTGTGTTGCAGAGTGGAACTGAGCCACACAGGGGTTTCTGGGCTCCGGTAGCACAGTGCCTAAGGCATTTGACTGCTAACCAGAAGCCTGGCGGTTCAAATCCACCAGCCACTCCTCAGAAGAAAGACTAGGCAATCTACTTCTGTAGAGATGAGCCTGGAAACCCAAAGAGGGGTCACTATGAGTTGGATCTGACTCCACAGCAGTGAGTTAGGTTTAATCTTTATGGAGGGAGCTATGAGTCGGGGCCAACTCGACGGCAAACAACAACAACAACAACTGGTGACATAGTGCCTAAGGCATTTGACAGCTAACCAGAAGGCTGGTGGTTCAAACCCACCAGCCACTCAGAAGGAGTGATTGGGCAATCTACTTCTGTAGAGACACCACCTTGGAAACCCAAGAAGGGGTCGCTATGAGTTGAATTGAGTCCACGGCAGTGAGGTTTTTTTTTTTTTTTAATCTTTACGGAAGCGGATGGCCAGGCCTTTCTTCCACGGTGCTGCTTGTGGGGTTGGAACTGCCAACCTTAAGGTTAGCATCTGAGCCCAAACCCTTTGTGCTACCCAGGGAGAGACCTTACACAACGAATACTCCCAGCTAAACTATCTCCCCGTGAATGGTGATCCCTGGAGTTGAGCGGTGCACAGCCTGCACCTCCATTCATGGTGGCCCTGGCAACTCGAGACCCAGCAGAAAATGTGGAGCCAAGGGCTGGGCTGCGGTGGGGATGGAGGCCCAGGCCTGTGGTCCTGGGGCAGCAGAAGCCCCAACTCACTTAGATCTGACTCGCCACAGGTCTGCCGTCTGGCCCATGATGAGGTACGCCTCCTGTTCTTGCAGCCCCAGGGAGTCGTGGCAGGTGGTGTGGGAGACAAACTTCTTCACGCTAAGGGGCATGGCAAGATCTGTGCCTGGAGGAGACCCAGCGTCTGAGCCTGCACAGGCCTGGCCTCCCCTACATTGGGACCCCAGAGAGCAGCCGCCACCCTCACCCCTGCCGCCCCGGGGTCATACCACGCTTGATGATGGTTTGGAGCTGCATGTTGTAGTAGACATAAGGGTTGGAGTCGGAGGCCTCCACAGCCTCCAGCCTGGCCTTGTACACTGGGGGAGGTGCAGGAGGGCGTGGTTGGCGTCTTGCCTGTGGTGGGCTCGGGTCTGCTAGCCCTCCCCCCGCCCCCCCGCCCCCCGCCCCTACTCTTACCGAAGTCCACGCCCACTTCACAAGCTGCTGCCTGGAGCTCCTCCTTCGTCATCTGGTTCTTGTTCTTAGCCGGGCACTGTTCTGAAGGGGTCAGGAGGCCACTGCTTTGGCTGCCCTGGGAAGGGGCTTCCCCTGACCGGCCCCACCTCCGCGATTCCCGGATCCTGGGATTTCGAGGTCTGGCCTTTCTAATCTGGAGGATTCTTAACCCCGACTCCCTGCCCTTTTGGTCTTTTTCATGTCTGTTTCTCCCATTTAGGTTCTTTGTGACTCTCCTAGTCTCAAGCGCTCTTTGGCCCTCACTGCGTATGTGTGCCCTTCTCTGTCGGTGTCGCCTTTTCTCTGTCCCTCTTTGTCTCTGTCTTCCCCTCTCTCTCCCAACTCAGCCCCGAGGGCAGTCAGGAGGTGGCCGAGGGCTCCTGGACCTGCAGCCTGGCATCCCGGGCGCCCGTGTCCCCGCGAGCCTCACCCTCGGCACATCTGCAGACGTCTCGGTGGCAGATCTTCCGCAGAGACGATTCTTCCCTGGGCAGGTTGTAGAAGGCGCTGCACCTCAGGGCTGAGGCAGGGGGTGAACTGAGTGGGCTGAGCCCGGCTTCCTGGGGACTGGGAGCCCCCCAGGCACTGGCAGTCTCCATATCTTCTAGCTTGCTCCTTCCACCACTAGCCCTTCCCTGTCCCTGGCCTGACCCCTCCAGGCTCTCCCAGACTTCTCCCACTTCTTGACCCTGGGCCCCTTCAGGTGGCATCCTGCCTGGTTTTCTCAGCCCTCTCTTTGATGGGGCTCTCCCCTTTCAGTGCCTCCCTGCTTCTTGCTCCACCTCTTCCCCCTGGGCAGGCCAGGCCTCTCAGATCCACCCCTCCCTCTTCCTCCCTAGCCCTGCCCACCTTGCCCCCCCCCCCAAGGCCCCACCCAGTGCCCTTCTTTCCCTGTCCCTGGAAGGCTATGGGAGCTCTGGTGGTGCAGTGCCTAAGGCATTTGATTGCTAACCAAAAGGTTGGCGGTTCAAACCCACCAGCCACTCCT